TCTTTGTCTTTCCTCTGGAGTCAGCCTAGTATGTCCAACCTGCATGGGTTCAATTTCCGTCTCTCCAGAATGAGAAGCCTGAACAGGCAAAGGGAGAGACTGGGTTTTAGGTCTCGGCTAGGACAAATGTTCTGTGGAAGCAGAAAAAACAGTCATATTATTAGAAGCAGGGGCAGAGGCAAAGGAACCCTGATTCCTGTATTTGGAGCTGTTTCTAGCTCGAATCCTGTTATCCAACTTAATTGTAAGGCGGATTAATTCTTCGAGTGTTGCAGGTTCGTCGAGGGTTGCTAGTTCATCCTTGATGCTTTCGTTTAAAGCCATAAAGTAAGCGCCCTTTAAAGCACTTTGGTTCCAACCGGAAGCTGCAGCTTTTACCCGGAAGTTAATGGAAAACTCCGCCACTGAAGAACTTTCCTGTTTAAGGTTGAAAAGAGCACGAGAGTCAATTGTTTGATCGGTTTCTTGGTTGAATATTTGAGAAAATTCAGAGATAAAATCGGTGTATTGACAATTGAGGCTTTAGTCAGAGGCAAACCTTGCCTGAGCCCATTCCAGGGCTCTTCCGGTCAATAGAGACAAAATAAAGGTTATTTTAACATGATCTGTGGAAAAACTGCCAGGAAAGTTTAGAAAAATTAAACGGCATTGAAACAAAAATCCCTTGCAGTCCTTCATATTACCAGAAAACTTTTCGGGGAGTCTTGGGCGGAACTCTGGTGATGACCTCACTGCCGGTGACCTCGGAGGCGGAACTGGACCCGGAAATGGTTGTTCAGCTGGCGTGGTGTTAGCTCTGTTCAAGCGGTTAGCATAGTTTTGGACTAAATGATTTTGTAATTCAATGTGGGTGTTTAACTCACTGAGAGCTTGAACATGTCCATGGATTTGAGCCTCCCGCTCCTCCAATAGACGACGGAGGTGGTCTGCTGGGCCTTGTGTTTGGCCGCAGTGTTCTGTCATGATGGGTTCACTGATGAGACCCAGTTATGCAGAACACCACGGAGACGGAAACAAGAGTAAAAGTTTAACAATGTTTATTGTTCACAAGCACATGGAATTATGACTGGAACTGGTTCAGGCCTGGGGACTGGTTCACTGGAGTCTGTGTAGATAACAGAGCAGTTAGCTTTGAGAGCAATTGGGTTTGGGTTTGTGATGTTCAGGTTAATACCTTGAGGGTTCCGGTTTGAGCTCAGAGAGAGGAGCTGTTGGGTCCAGAGAAGGTTTGTTTCAGCAGAGTCCGATAACTGCTTCCGCGTCTTACTTCTAAAGAGGGTGCAGACCTTGGCTTTGGGTTTCCAGCTCTTAATCCAGAGCTGCATGGGAAATCCAGAGAGGAGTCTTCGGGTTTGGCTCAGAGGGCAGGCTCGGCAGTCTAAGCTCATCCAGAGCTCACAGAGAAAAACAGGTTTCCTGGAAACAGAGACACAAAAGGATTAGAATCCTAGCAGGACTCAGAGGGCAATAAAAGATTCTCAGAAGGTTCTTTGGCTCAGGTGCTAACCAACTAGATTCAACACTGCGGCGTCGAGGCAAGGTCTGAAGACAGCTTTTATACTGTGGATCCTCTGATGATGGAACGAGCCTCAGGTGCGTCGAAGGCTCGGCTCAGGAGGATCCACGGTGGACTCTGCTGGAGGAAGGTGGTACTTCTCCAGCTCCCAAAAAAGAGAAAGGAACCTTCACACAAGGCCTCTAGGGTTCTAGCAGACCACAAACAGCCACATGTAATCTGACTTAACCGCACATATGCTACGTTAACATGCGCAACATTTTCCCAATCTAATCTACACATTGGTTGATCAGAATTTCTAAATCTCTGTTTACATGGACACTAAGGCTGCATTCCACTCCAGTGGCTTTGTCCTCCAAGTTCTACCTGGACTGAATCCTGGAAGGCCTTAAAATAATGAGGCTGGAAGAGTTCAGCTATGGATACAAACAGGACCAGTCATCTCCGACATCCAACAGCTGTACACTCTGCAGACCAGCAACTGTGACAGCTGACTCACAAAGCATGCAAAGAATGGATTCTGAACTTCTCACACAGCTGTTATGCGCCAATTTCATTTAGATTAGATTAGATGAGCTTTATTGATCTCGCAGCGGAGAATTTCACTCGTCACATATTGGCATAGAAGTTACAGAAGGTGCAAACAAGGAGGAAAAAGGTGCATTAAGATTAAAAAAATATATATACAGTATTTCTGATGAGAAATAATTTCTGAGAAATAATCATGTTCAGGAAAATATAAATTTAATTTTTGCCAAACCCATTTGCACAGGGACAGATACAATCTTTCAATGAACCAAACATTACCACCAGTGTTTGGCAGCCATCTTAAATTTAATCTTAGTTTTAGTTTTATTATTAGTTTTAGTCCCATTTTAACCTTTAACCATTACAATTTCCAATGACAACCAGATTATTTTGCAGACTGACAGCTCTATCCTAGATGCTACAATATCTGGGTATAGAATGCTGCTTTGCAGTTCATTGCTGTTGGGCAGAAAACTTTGATTTATAGAATTCAAATAAACTTTATGAATTAATGCTCTACTTTATAAAAACGTATCTCACAGAAGCTGTGAAAATAGCAGATCTAGTTCAACACATCATATTGGTTAATATAGCAGACAGACAAACTAACAACATTTCCAATAAAGGAAAGTTTCTAGAAATCCAAGGTTTTCATCTAAGCAAACACTTCCTGGTGTACTATGAATTATGGATTGCAACAGATCAATAAAATCTGCCTTGCTCCAAAAAAGCAAGGATTAAAAAAAAATTCTTCTCTCTACTTTGGCAATTTTGGCTTTATTTCTTCAATTTCCTCCTAATTTACTGCTGCTCAGGAGTCAAAATAGATTTAAATTCATAGGAGTCTGAAAAAAATATACATTACACAGATAACCTACATCATTGCCCTCTAATGCCTTGGCAATCAGGACCTACATTTCAATATGTTAAATAAAATGTTGAAATATTCAAATAGAAAGAAACGAGAAAAATTAGAGAGAAATATTGAATGATCTATGTATGTCATGATCTGGCCTGATTCCTCTACCTTAATTTGTTATTTCTTTCACCTGCCATTTTTCCTTCCTGCCGCAATTATCATTTATTCCTAATTTATTCCTCACCTGTTTCCTTTGGTTTATATTCTGTTCAGCCTGAGCATTCGGGGGCAGATCATTATTTAGATTTTTGTTTGTCTGTTTAGGTCTGTTTGTTCCAAGGTTCATGTCCTGGATACTGGCGCCCAGTGGAAAGAAGGTTTTCTGTCAGTCTCGTCTCCGGCCCCTTCCACAGTTCCTCCCTTGCTGAGTCCTCTGGGTTTTTGGCTCTATACGTGGGGAGGATCAGTTTTTATTCCAGTAAGCCTGGCTCCAAAGTGTACACCAGTTTAAAGGTCCTGTTTAAGTTCTGGTTCAACGTCCTGTATTGGTTACCCTCTTCCACTGAGCTTGCTCTTCTGTACCTGATCATGTATGCTCCTGTCACGCCTGGTCAGGCTTCTGGACTCTGCCTGGACTCTGAACTTGCCTGAGAGCTCTACGATGCCTGGAAGCCTGGATCCTGCTTGGTTCTGAATCGCTGTCCAGGATCGGCTTCCTGCTAATCCTTTGTAGCTGCAGCACCGGGGACACTTGGAGCTGTCAGCCCATCTGCTGGTTCGCGCCCCCTTCAAGGCTGATGGACTGAACTAGTAAGTGACTCACTGAGATTATCATATTCTGTCAGATGATCGTGGTCACTTATCTGTGTTTTTCCCACAGAGTGTCTGAGATTGGGCGGTGCCCCGCCCCCCTCCTGCAGCATCCGCGAGCCGCAGATCCTAGCAGCTCCACTTTAATTTCAGTTTGTTTGTTTTATTTTTAATAAACGTTTTGAACTTTCCTACTGACTGTCTCACCTTGAATACTGGGTCCATCTGTCCCCATTTTATGACAATGTACCTTTTCATTTGGATCTTTATCCAAACATAAACAGAATTCAATGAAATATTAGCTTTTTTTGTTGTTTTTGCGGCACTAGTGGCAAATTTTTTTTCGACAGTAGGCTGACATGAGACATGGAAAAAGACCACAGGTCGGATTCGAAGCCGGTTTGCCCGTGTTGAAGACTAAGTTCTCCGTACATGGGTAATGCACGCTAACCGCTGCGCCACCTGCACACCCCTTAAATATTTGCTGTTGATATAATTTAGGGATTCCTTTTGGTACAAGTTAAAGAATTTTTAGCATCACCTGTTGTCAGCTGGAAGAAATAAAATCTTCATTGTCAGATAAAGGTTTTTTTTTTTTTTTTTATTCATGCTGTCAGGCTGTTTCTGTTTATCTTTTCATGGCTGTACACGCCAGGCCGTACTTAATGTCAGCACGTTGCCGTAAAACTCCACCAAAGCAACTTGGATTTGTTCCTCTTAGTACCAGGCTGGTTCAGGGAAAGTCTTCCTTTAAATGGGCTTTATCACTTATTAATGCAAGAGAAATCTGAAAAGAACCCCTTATTCATGTTTAGATGAAGCATTATGCTCCAAGTGTTTGTTTCTCAGGGCACTACCACTTCCTGCTGGCAGCTTTTATCACCACTGGAAGCTTTAATGATGGGAGATATCATCTAAATCTTTCTGCCTCTAGCTAGCCTTAGCATAGCACTGCTAACATTACTACTGTCAGTATTAACGAGGCTGGGTTCTCTGGCGTTAATCCACTTGGCAAATCCAAATGCTTTAGCAGCTTTAGCTTCTGCTGTAACAAATTAATCGAGTGCTTTGCATGTATTATCCTCAAGGCATCAAATATCTTTGATCTTAGCAGATTCTTCTTTCTTTTCATACATCAGCTTAATGTTTCTGACCTGTTTGGCTTAATGGTTTCCCATACAGACGTAACATACATAGGTAGTAAGTACGCACAGTGTGCTTCGTTTACCGACCACTAGAGCAACGGTTGAACTGATTAACTGTATGTAACCAGAACGAGCTACTAGCAGGTTAATTAAGTAATTATCGTATTTTTTTGTTCAGTTTATCTTTGTCTAATCTAAATAGTTCTAGATGAAAATGGGAGAAGCCTGCTGTCTTGTTAGAGCAGGTCGTATACTCAGCTTTAGAGCAGGATACATCCATGAGAGCCACCATGCTCCTGCAAGCGTCGATGCTGAAGCCTTCAGATATCAGGTCTTCTAAAGGACAGAAAGAAGAACAGCCATTAACAGGGTTAGAGTCTCATGGTGATGCACAGAGACATATTTCAAGATTGAAACCTTTCAGAAGCTTCTCATTTAAAATCCTCTGGACTTGCTCAGCATCCACTTCTTCATACTAGAGAAAAGAAATTATACTGAAGATGTGAAATGTTTTAGAGGTCCGATTTAATCACAGCATGTCCACAGCTTGGCTGAAACATCATGGCTCAGAACATCCCAGCAGAACCAACTGTTTTATGTCACTCTGAGTCATTGTGTTTGCGTCACATCAGAAACAAGCTGATGTTCAAAATATGAATCTACCTTGTCTGAATATTGACGAAACAGAACTTGTTTTTTTTCATCCAGCTGCCTGATCTCCAGCTTCATCGTCTGAAAGACAAACACGTTAAGCCTCCTTCATCTCATAAAAGGGCAAACAGGATGTCATGATTGGTCACCTACTTTCTCACATGGCTTAGACAAGATCTCACCAGAGTTTTCGCTTGGGAAGAAGACATTTTTCCTAATTAGAAGCTAATAAAGTATAAAACAACACATATAGATGCAGAGAGTAGAGACATACTAGCAGAGGGTCTCTGTCCTGCAGTTAATGGTCAGGATGAATGAAGATGTCTCATTGGGATTGAAGGTGGATGGCACGATCACGTATTCCCCAGGCATCAAAGTGAGGAACTCCATCACTTCACGCGCATTAATGAAGGTTTTAGTTTGGGCAGCAGGTTTTTGGGCGCTAAAGAAGGAAGCTGGAAATTTTCCTTTGTGGGGCTGATCCTGTGGCACCACAAGGGCATCTCAGAAACTGCTCTCATTGAATATAAATGCTGTGGCAGTTTGGGCGGGTCCTACCTTTTCCTTCACCTGAGAGCAGATCAGTCAGAATGTTGGAAAGAGCAAAGAAATGGTTCCATCAGCTGGTTTTTAAAATTAAAACACAAAATACATCTAAAATACAACCAGATGGTACTTGCAGCATCCAAAAAAATGGTTCTATAGGATACTTACACGCTATCCAGGACATCTACATGAAATACCAGCTATCTACTGTATACTAGGGTTCACTGCAGTAATCAAAGGTACCCATTATGGCACATACCAGACATTAATGGGGATGTAACTACATGCTAACAACAGATTACCTACATGGTAGCTGCTGTATATTTATAAATATTAGTATGTAATGCTTTTACAGGATCCAACAGCAGCGTATAAACGGAACAGGCTGTAATACTGGTAGGGCCTCCATGAAGGGGAGCAGAACCAGAGCTGTTGTTCAACTTTATAGGAAAACTGTGGATCTGTTTTTATGTCTTCTTGTCAGGTTGAGTCTTTGGCTCTTGGCTCTGGTCTGTTACATTTTTAGTTGGATTTTTGGATTTTGCCTCTGTTATGATTCTTTGCATTAAAACTACAAGAAATAACCTCTCTGCCTCTGCATTTGGGTCCTCTAAACCACAACGAAGATGTGACAGATAATAAATAATTACAATAGTCCAGCCTTGAAGTAACAAACGCATGGACTAGTTTCTCAGCATCACCCCTGGACAGGAGATTGCTCATTTTTGCAATATTCCTCAGATGAAAGAAGGAAATTCTAGAAACCTCTTTGATCTGGGATTTAAATGACAGGTCCTGATCAAAAACAACACCAAGATTTTTTACTTTATTATCTGAAATCAGTTTAATCCCATCCAAATGAAGTGACTGGCTATCAGCTTCTTTTTCAGAGACTCTGGTCCAAACACTATAACTTCTGTTTTGTCTGCCTTCAGAAGCAGAAAAATGGACCCCAACCACCTAATGACCCATATGTCCCGTTTTAACAGGGCAGTATTTAAACACAGAAAGCTTTAGAGCCCTGCAGATTGTGCAAAACCCTGCTGCTTGTATTTTCGGCAAAGCAGGGAAATATCTGCTTGCCTCTTTGGTGGCTTCCTTTCTAGGTTTGAGCTGATTTCAAGGTGCCAATCAACACAATCTATCATGGAAGAATTGTATTAACATACTTCTGCCCCTTGTTCTAAGGAAACTATCGTCGTGATGGTCCTGAAAATGAACAAACATTTTCATTTCAGGGGCCGGAGGTGTGGACTCCTCTGGATATCAGACAGGCAGCTTCTTTAGAGGCTTTTAGAGCTAAAGATCAGCCTATTCTCCAGTTGTTCTGATCTGTTTTATCTGCCTATTTAGCACTTTGATTTAAATCTTTTCACAAATACAGTTGCTATAGAAAGCTCAGATTCTGTGAAAACATTTGGGGGTGGTCCACTTCCTCTAATAGTAATGCTTCCATTTGGAGCTAGTTGCATATAAAGAGTCAAGCCTAGAGAGTAGATGGTGTTTCTGTTTAGTTTAACTTAGTTAAACAGGCCAACTGTACCTCAAAAACCGTGAACCCAATGTGGAAGTTTTGCACCAAGCGTCTGTTTCTCTTGTCAGGTTTCTGCATGAGAGACACCAGCATGTTTTTCGCAGCAGTTCTGGTTGAAATTTCTTTCCACACCTTGATTCGGAACTGTGGATTGGTCCAGAAGGTCTCTGGAAGATAAAAGAGAGAAGTGGAGTAATGAGGATGGACTCTACTGGTTCCTCTACTTAACACTCTGTTATTGGTGATGTGGTGGTTTAAAACTGAGGTTACAAGGATCTCTACGGATCATGCTTCCCTGCAGCTGGGGTCAGTCATGTTGGATCAATCACTTCCTTTGAGCCTCTATCTTTCACTGATTCTTGAAACTTTTTTCATGAATAAAAAGAGTCAAGGTTATAATCAGGGGGTCCTTTGCACATGTGTAAGGTTCTTTTAAAGGTTTAGTTTATATTAAATGAATTTTATGATTATATGCTGGCCCATTGCCTTCAAAATCAGTTGTCCTTGGATAGGAGAAAATCATTTCAACTTGATTTAAAAAAACAAGAAGTAATAACTGAATTGAATAACATCTTTACCATATGAAAGAGTACATTGTAATAAGTATTTAAAGCTATAAAAAGGGAGTTTTGAAAAATATTATTTTGTGATTGCTCAAAATGTTTCCCATACATTTGTCAGACATGTATAAAAAGCAATAAAATCAGGCAACTAAAAGTTCAACTACATTCCTGATGACCCCATTTTCAAATCATCAGCTTTACTGCAGGCTTCAAGTTCACTCAAGCTCTTGTAAGTTTGCTATTTTCTCTTAAACTTGTTCATATTTTTGGACACTGCTAATGTCAGAAACATAACATGTCTACATGGTCTCTTTTGTATAAGAAATATTAGATTAGATTATAACATAAATGTTTCATTTTTAAGAAGAGGTCTAAAATAGCTAACAACAGAGGGGAGGGATTTATCCCTTAATTTCCCTGATCCAAATTTCATCTTTTATCTGGCCAAGCCAGTAATCTGCAAACACTCAACCAAGCTCTGCCTCCGCCAAGCCCTCAGCCTGCCGACAGCCTCTGGACCCTCAAGGTCGCCCACCTCAGCCTGGTCCTCAAGAGAGAGGAAGAGAGAGAGAGCCAAGCCTGGAATCTTCCCGCCAGCATTCTGACAGCCTCTGCCCAGCTCTCAGCTCTCCTCCTGCCAGCACAGGGTTCCCAACCTGAAACCTGCCCGCTAGCACTCAGACTGTCTCAGCCAAGGTACACTATATTGCCAAAAGTATTTGCTCACCTGCCTTGACTCACATATGAGCTTAAGTGACATCCCGTTCCTAATCCATAGGGTTCAATATGACGTCGGTCCACCCTTTGCAGCTAGAACAGCTTCAACTCTTCTGGGAAGGCTGTCCACAAGGTTTAGGAGTGTGTTTATGGGAATTTTTGACCATTCTTCCAGAAGAGCATTTGTGAGGTCGCACACTGATGTTGGACGAGAAGGCCTGGCTCTCAGTCTCCGCTCTAATTCATCCCAAAGGTGTTCTATCGGGTTGAGGTCAGGACTCTGTGCAGGCCAGTCAAGTTCATCCACACCAGACTCTGTCATCCATGTCTTTATGGACCTTGCTTTGTGCACTGGTGCACAGTCATGTTGGAAGAGGAAGGGGCCAGCTCCAAACTGTTCCCACAAAGTTGGGAGCATGGAATTGTCCAAAATGTCTTGGTATGCTGAAGCATTCAGAGTTCCTTTCACTGGAACTAAGGGGCCAAGCCCAGCTCCTGAAAAACAACCCCACACCATAATCCCCCCTCCACCAAACTTTACACTTGGCACAATGCAGTCAGACAAGTACCGTTCTCCTGGCAACCGCCAAACCCAGACCCGTCCATCAGATTGCCAGATGGAGAAGCGCGATTCGTCACTCCAGAGAACGCGTCTCCACTGCTCTAGAGTCCAGTGGCGGCGTGCTTTACACCACCGCATCCGACGCTTTGCATTGCACTTGGTGATGTATGGCTTGGATGCAGCTGCTCGACCATGGAAACCCATTCCATGAAGCTCTCTGCGCACTGTTCTATAGCTAATCTGAAGGCCACATGAAGTTTGGAGGTCTGTAGTGATTGACTCTGCAGAAAGTTGGCGACCTCTTCGCACTATGCGCGTCAGCATCCGCTGACCCCGCTCCGTCAGTTTACGTGGCCTACCACTTCGTGGCTGAGTTGCTGTCGTTCCCAAACACTTCCATTTTCTTATAATACAGCTGACAGTTGACTGTGGAATATTTAGGAGCGAGGAAATTTCACGACTGGATTTGTTGCACAGGTGGCATCCTATCATAGTTCCACGCTGGAATTCACTGAGCTCCTGAGAGCGACCCATTCTTTCACAAATGTTTGTAAAAACAGTCTGCATGCCTAGGTGCTTGAATTTATACACCTGTGGCCATGGAAGTGATTGGAACACCTGATTCCAATAATTTGGATGGGTGAGCAAATACTTTTGGCAATATAGTGTATTAGTTCACCTCCTGTCAGTACTCAGCTCTGCTAGCCCTCAGCCCTCGGCCTGCCAACAGCCTCTGGATCCACAAGGTTCCCCCCCTCTCTGCAGCTCAGCTCATCCCCAGACCAGCGGGGAACCAAATCCTGATCAGTGTCCCAAACCCTGGACTTGTTTTCTTAGTTAACATTCCTTTAAATAAACCTTTAAACTTTACCCTGTCTCCGAGTGGTTCTGCATATGGGCTAGAGCCCCTCACCCACTATGACACTGATAGGGTCATCATAGTGGGAGATTTTAACATCCATGCTGACATTGAAGGCGATAGCTTAAGAGCAGCCTTTAATGCTATCTTAGACACTATTGGCTTTGTTCAAAATGTGAATAGTCCCACACATTCTCATCTTCATGCTTTGGATCTTGTGCTGACATATGGCATAGAATGTGAAGAAATAACAGTATGTCTATTTTACAAAATAATCCGTGGTCTGTCATCTCCTCCACTCAGTCAGTTTGTGACAATCAGGAACACACCAACAGTAACACGAGGGTCGGCTAGAGGAGACTGTGTTGTTCCTCTGCGTAAAAGTGCTTTTAGTGCTATCATTAACAAGCCATGCTGCCACTTGTGTCTCTGCTGTGTGTATGTATGTATATATATATATATATATATATATATATATATATATATATATATATATATATATATATATATATATATATATATATATAGTTTAAATGTTTTATTCTATTTTATGAACCTCTGTAGTCCAGCGAACACTTATTCTGTATTTTAAATCAGTTTTGAGGAGTTATAGCTGTTTTTCTTTCTTAAAAATATTTGTATTTTTCATTGTAGAATGCTTACTGTTGTGTTTTTATAAATGACAAGGTTGCACCGGTACATTGCTGAACAGCAAAGACCTTGGTCTATAACAATATACCTTCAGATTTTGTAATTTAACAAACTTTTTATTTTCAAAATTAAAACCCATTTTATCCAAATTCCTAAGAATCAGTGCCTCATTAGAATGACAAAGCATTTGTTTTGCTGGAGTCTAAACATTTTTTTTTTACTTCTAGCTGTTTAATCCTCTGATTGAGTGTCTCCTGTGCAGTAACCCCGTAGCTCCACCCCCACTCAGGCCTTGGTTAATGCTTAGCTCATTTTGTTTTGTACACATTTACTCTCTATTCTGAAACCTGTGCCGTATTTTTTATTACTGTGTGTTATATAGTGATTATATTATTGCATAAAGAAGCATTTAATGAGCACTGATCCAAAGTCTGTGCCTGACAGATAAAGTCCATTGTCATTGGCAATTAGAGCTTTGTCATGCCTCTATTTAAACAGATATTCAGTCAAACTGAAATTTGAACCTTAACTGTTTTTCATTGGGACCTTTGTGGATTTTTTACACTACAGTGCGGAGGTATTTATCCCCTTTAAGTGACAGAGCAGTGCAGAACATGAGGATGTAGAGGGTAAACTTCCACCAAAGTCTCTTGCTGCAAAACAAGCACAAGGGGGCAATAGAGGATAATTAAAGAACCCAGCACTGGTAGAAATGGACTACAAAGACACACAACACAAATAAACTTAAAAATAAACCCAAGCAGTGTTGGGATCCAGAGGCTTGCCCACCAGAGGGTGCCGAGGATCCCTTCCTGATTGTTTGTTTTTCTGTCCTCTATCCGCGATTGTACCTGAGGTAGTCATGGAATCTGAACCGGGTTTAGACTGCTTTGATCCAGTTGAACTCTCTGAATTAGCAAAATTATTGTCTTCATCTAAGCCTTCAACTTGTATGTTAGATCCAGTTCCAACCAGGTTATTTAAGGAGGTATTCCCTTTGATCTCCTCCTCCATTTTAGATGTGATTAATCTATCTCTGTTACAGGGATATGTACCTAAAGCTTTTAAGGTTGCTGTAATTAAACCTCTGCTTAAGAAACCGTCTCTTGACCCAGATGACTTGGTCAATTATAGACCTATATCCAATCTTCCTTTCTTATCCCAAATTCTTGAGAAAGTAGTTGCCAAACAAGTTTGCGATCACTTACACCATAATGAACTTTTTGAAGAGTTTCAGTCTGGCTTTAGAGCTCATCATAGCACTGAAACAGCTCTGGTGAAAGTCACTAATGATATTCTCATGGCCTCAGATAATGGACTTGTATCTGTGCTCGTCCTGTTGGATCTCAGTGCTGCATTTGATCCAGTTGACCATAATATTCTTTTAGAAAGACTTGAATATTTTGTTGGAATTAAAGGAACAGCACTAGACTGGTTTAAATCTTATCTATCTGATCGAATTCAGTTTGTTCATGTTAATGATAGATCTTCAACACGCTCACAGGTTACCTGTGGAGTACCACAGGGATCAGTGCTAGGACCAATTCTCTTTACTTTATACATGCTCCCAATTGGTAGAGTTATTGGACAGCATGGGATTAATTTCCACTGTTATGCTGATGATACCCAGCTATATCTGTCTATAAATCCAGATGAAGCTAACCCATTACATAGATTACAGGCATGTCTTGAAGACATAAAAACCTGGATGACTCTTAACTTTCTGCTTCTGAATGCAGACAAAACAGAAGTTATAGTCTTTGGACCAGAGTCTCTGAAAAAGAAATTGATTAGCCAGTCACTTCATTTGGATGGGATTAAACTGATTTCAGATAATAAAGTAAAAAATCTTGGTGTTAATTTTGATCAGGACCTGTCATTTAAATCCCATATCAAATAGGTTTCTAGAATTTCCTTCTTTCATCTGAGGAACATTGCAAAAATTAGAAATCTCCTGTCCAGGGGTGATGCTGAGAAACTAGTCCATGCATTTGTTACTTCAAGGCTGGACTATTGTAATTCTTTACTATCAGGAAGTCCACAAACTGTAGTTAAAAGCCTTCAGCTGATCCAAAATGCTGCAGCCAGAGTTCTAATGAAAATGAAAAAGAGAGATCATATCTCTCCTATCCTGGCTTCTCTTCATTGGCTTCCTGTTAAATCAAGAATAGAATTTAAAATCCTCCTTCTCACATATAAAGCCTTGAGTGGCCAGGCTCCATCTTATATCAGAGATCTGATTGTTCCTTATGTTCCTAACAGAGCACTTCCCTCTCAATCTGCAGGTTTACTAGTGGTTCCTAGAATTTCTAAAAGTAGAATGGGAGGCAGATCTTTTAGTTATCAGGCTCCTCTCCTGTGGAACCAACTACCAGTTTTAGTCCGTGAGGCAGACACCCTGTCTACTTTTAAGGCTAGACTTAAAACTTTCCTTTTTGATAAAGCTTATAGTTAGAGTGGCTCAGGTTATCCTGAGCTATCTCTATAGTCATGCTGCTATAGGCTTAGACTTTTGGAGGACATAGGGATCCCCATTTCATCATTCTGCTTCATTCTCTCTCTGTTCTCCTATTCTGCAGAATCTGTTAGTTCAATCTCTAACCTTCTGCTCTCTCTGCTTTTCCTCAGAGTAGCTTTGCCTCGTCTGTTCCTGTTTGGCTGTGACGTCATCCTGGAAAGAAACATCAGCTGTGCTGCTTCTATCAACACCCTTGTTTATAGATGTTGGAGATCGGCCTGTTTTCCAGTGTGGTCCTGTTTCTCTGACCGTGACTGAGTGGATGTGCTCTCTTCGTCCTCTGGCATGGGAGCTGCCTTGGAGCTCGTCTGCCTGGCTGCGTGTTTCCTGGACGGGGCCGCCTTTTACAGCTGCTTTTTGTATCTCTGCTTCTGTCTCCTTGAACCCCAGTCGGCCTCGGCAGATGGCCGCTCACACTGAGCCTGGTTCTGCTGGAGGTTTCTTCCTGTTAAAAGGGAGTTTTTCCTCTCCACTGTCGCTACAAGCATGCTTAGTGTGGGGGATTGTATTTGAGTCAATGAGTCAATGTAATCAACTGGTTTTCCTTAGATAGAAAACTTTGTATCAATTTGACTGTATGATCTGGTTGAACTGTAAAGTGCCTTGAGATGACATGTGTTGTGAATTTGGCGCTATATAAATAAACTGAATTGAATTGAATTGAATTGTTTGGTTCTGGAGTGCTGTCTACCTTCCTCCACTAGAGGGTGTACTGGATCTCCTGAACCTGGAGCTGTCTTCACCAGCTGATTCTCATCTGCTCATCAGGGGACCAGTATTTAAGTGGACTGTGGACAACACTCCGACGCCAGAGTGTTTGTTAATCACGGTACAGCAACCCTGAGCCAACCAGCCTGTCTTATTTTCTGACTCCACTGTAACCAGAACCAGAACCTGACCAGTTGTGTCTTCTCTGCTTCTAGAAAGAAACCTGACTAAACCCTGGGACTCTGGAGGAGTCTCCATTGCCGAACTCTGCCTGCTGCATCTCAAGAGCTCTGGAGGAGCTCATAGTCAGAAGCCTGCCAATCTGCTCTTGACTGAACCCTGGAAACTCTGGAAGAGTCTCCCTTGTTGAAATCTGCCTACCGCATCTCAGGAGCTCTGGAGGAGCTCATCTTCAGAAACCTGCCTTCCTGCTCTTGGTAGCCAACCAGGAGATCTACAGCCTGAATCTGCCTGCCTGTTCTCTAGGTGAGAACTTAGAGCAACTTAAGGACTGAGCCTCAGCTAGTCAGAAGCCTAGCCCTGCTGCTGCCTAGCCCTCTGCTAATCCCTCTGCCCCTGGACTCCTCTGGTTACCTCTCTCCACCGCTCAGCCAGAATCACAGATCAGAGAATCCTGTATGATCAGCCCGGACCCGTTTCAGTATCAGTAACCATAGACAGGTTCACCCCACCTAGGGACCGGCCACCTCTCTTTATGCTCCCTCTCATAGGAACATCTCTGTGCTAAGTGCTGTGCCCATTCCCCCCGTCCTGCCCTGCCACCGCTGGCTGGCGCCTGGGCTCGGTGGCGCCTGGGCTCGCTGATGCACTGGTGGGGCTCGGTGTTTGGGGGTGGATTATTCTTGGCAGCCTCTCCACGGGGCCTGGGTCCTCGGGGTCTGGCCAGGGCTCCCGTCGGGGGGTCGGACATGCCTTGGGCCTTGGGTCCCTGGGCCCATGGCTGGATCCACTTCAGGGTGGCTGGCTGCCAGCGGAGCCCATGGACTCGTTCCTGTGGCTCCCGGGGGCGGCGGCATTGCAGTGGCGGGGGGATTTCCTCTGGGTTGTCTCTCCTCCTCCCTTGGTGGGGGGGGGGGGGGGGGGGGGGGGGGTATTTCCTTGGTTGGCCTCTCCTGTGCACCTTTGCTCCTGGGGTCCCTCTGGGCGTCTGGGGCTTTGGGTCCCCTGGGGCTCGCCTTAGTGCTCTGGAGGGGTGCGTCTTTAGTTCTCCACAACCACTATTGAGCATTTCTTCTTTGGATAAACTTTACATGCACAAGTGCACCCTCACAAACAAGTACAGGTGCTTGTTTCCAGGTACTTAGAGATTCATTTCCATAAAGAAAGCACATATTCCTATCTTCAACTACCACAGTATACATGTCAGATTAAATAATACTACTTATACTTCAGTGATAGTATCTAGGTGTTACTATATTGTATGTCTCGTACCATGTCCGTTGGTTGTGCTGTTATTTTATATCTCTTTCCAAGTGATGAAGCAGACTGAAGATGTTTCATCATTATCTCTCTTTTATCTCCTCTTTCTTTAATCGTTTATCCTTTTTTATGTTTTTCTTTTCCTGTTCTACCTACATTGCAGTGTCCATATAATTTGTAATACTCCCTGCATAATTATAATAAAGCTATTTATATGCATACAGCAAGCGGAACACTTTGGCAATAGCCCTACTGCTCCACATGTTTAATTAAAATCTGTTGGGCTCTTTTTTGGCATCAAGACAATTATTCTTATTGCCACATCACCAGACAGGCAGTGCTAACCACTGCAGCACTGTGCAGCCCAAAATGTGAAACAATCTTAACCAATTTGTTGACAAAAGCTTTGCACAGTTATATGACTAAAAACTGACAAAGAAATAGAAATTTGGTAGCATATTCAAGTTGATAGCGTTATTAGTATTTTATTATATAAGTTATTATAGTGTAATAGATCGTATTTCACTTTTCTGACCAGTTCTACACTGTTATGTTTATGTAGTAAAATGGTGAGATGGTTATTTATGCCTAAATATTGAGGCTGAGCAGAACAGAAGTACTTGGATCTGTTTTTCTGCATCATTAAGATGGAATCCTTCACATTTTTGTTCCAACCAGAAAAGGATTCAAACATGTTTAAAAATCTTGTTCAACCAGTGGAATTTGAGACATAAAGTAAGAAGTTGTTGGCATAAAGTCCTACTCCCTTCCTATGTTCACCAGTAAGAAGGGATGAGCTCTAAGTGGCAATGAAAAGTGGTGCAATGGGAACAGCAATGGTGATACTGACCATCTTTGGCAGCATTTTCATGTTAAAAGTTGGACTTAGCTCTTACACTGGCAATTAGGGCATTGCATGGTAATTTGTTCCACCAAATAAACTTTGAGCAAAAGTTAAGTAGAAATATTCCCCCTCCACTCTGGGGAAGGCTTTTTCATCATCTTGTGATTCAGGTTTGAGCAGCATGAGGTTGAGCAAGTGGCGTTCTTTGGAGGAGATTTGGGTTTGGTAAGCAGAGGTCGAGGGGGCCAGTTAAGGTTTCAGCCAGTGGTTTGATGTCACTATTAGCAAACGGACAGGTTGCCAGCTGCTGGCTTTAGGATGAGTGATATTGATGCTTGAGGTAAAGTCAAAGGAAGGGTGCCAAGTTCAAAGGAGACATTAAACATGTCAAATAATCGGGGAGCTAGCCGGTCAGAGAAGGTCCTGGCTTTAACTGCCATCTAGTTTTTCTGGAATTAGCAACAACTGAGAGGAAGACTAATTGATCAAAGAATTGGTTTGTTGATATAGTGTCTGATTAGGCTTTCTAAGTAATCAGATTACCTCTATTATTCATGCAACCTCCAGCTGTTGTTCCTGCGACCCACCGGCCCTCAGCTATAGAGCTCCTCCAGAGGCCAGAGGAATCTTCATCCAGGAAGTCTGGATTCAGACCGCACAGGTCCAGCTCTGTGTAGAATTCACAGAGATCCTCCAGTGTCATCCTGTGACAATATATTAATAATTTCAACTGAACATAGGCTTAAATGTAAACTTTCATAGGAAAAATAATTGTTCCTATTAAAGGTTTTATGAATGATTTGCCCTGATTTACTTACCAAAACTCCCCATCTTCAGCCACTGAAAGGCATTTTTCCCGGTCTTGGGGGCTCACAGTTTTCCATATTGAAGACCTGTCAGAGACACTACTTGTTATTTATTTACTGCTTAGGCCCCAGAGTTTTCAGGCGGAATTAAACGCAGTTTTATTAATCAAATGTCTGATCACTCTGGATTTGTTCTCACTGATCACTCCAATCTCCGTTCCACTCCCCCTTTCCCCAGGGATTCCACAGACGCACTATTTTCACAGGTTTCCCTCTGCTCATCACCTGAGCAACATCACAAAATCCATCACTATCATAAACTCAGTTATTTAATAGAGGAAAATAACTCTTATGTAAAGATCTGATCATGGCTGTTGGCGTCTTCACCTGTATGACACCCGTCACTGTGTAAGCGTGGCCCTGAACCAGCCCGTTGGGGCATAAGCTGAGAGAGGGGGACTCCTGAAAATAACAAATCAATAACAGAAAAGTAAACAGCAGTAAATTAAATCAAATAAAACTAACTGAACTTTTGGAGGTGCACATAATTAAAATCTTAAAAGCATTGTTTATATGTAGGTTTCTTGGTTACCCCTTTTGGTGTACTACAGCCCATCAAAGCACCAAAGCGTCCAGCCCTAGACATTGACTCCCACAGGTCTGAAGGAGGATTGGACAGCTGGATACACATATGGACACCTCCAGTGAAGTCCACCATAGCCTCGGCAAGAGTTCCAGCATTCATGTCAGCATAGGAGCCACAAACCCTCATGGTAGAAATTGGGAAAAATGCTCATTTAGTGCAAAAAGCAAAGAGCCAGAACAGCAGAATATTAGAAAGAATGAGTGTATGTACTTGGCATATGCTTTCTCAAGGAGGGAGGGCCAGAACTCATTCTGTTTCTTTGACTGAACAAAGATTGGTCTTCCATTAATAGTTGGCAGTTTGTCATCGATTACAACATCCACCCACTTTCCAAATCTCCAAAACTAAATTCAAAAAAGGATTGGAAAGAAAGCTTTATTCGCTGAAAAATATTAATTTGTGATCAGAAGTTTTAATGAGAATTTGGTACTGATGTCAAAGAGATGATGTATTAATGGTTTTTAACATTTTTTTCCTGAGCAACTGTAGATTAAAACATAATTGATTCAGTTCATTACGTGAACAAACTGAAATCGGTCAGATTATTTAATTCCTACAAAATGTTCTTTTTAACAGAATATTATGATCAACTGGATCAAATGCAGAACTTAGATCTAACAGGACGAGCACAGATACAATCCATTATCTGAGGCCATGAGAATATCATTAGTGACTTTCACCAGAGCTGTTTCAGTGCTATGATGAGCTCTAAAGCCAGACTGAAACTCTTCAAAAAGTTCATTATGGTGGAAGTGATGGCACACTTGTTTGGCAACTAATTACTCAAGAGTTTTAGATAAGAAAGGAAGATTGGATATAGGTCTATAATTGACCAAGTCATCTAATTCCAGCAACCTTAAAAACTTTTGGTACATATCCCTGTAACAGAGATAGATTACTCAAATCTAAAATGGAGGAGGAGATCAAAGGGAATACTTCCTTAAATAACCTGGTTGGAACTGGATCTAACATACAAGTTGAAGGCTTAGTGACTTAGTAAATGGATCAAAGCAGTCTAAACCCAGTTCAGACTTTTTGGCTACCTCAGATGCTGCCCCACCCTCAAGAGAGAAACGAATTATAGATAAAGGAGTGCTAATGATCTTATTTTTAATGGAATCAATCTTATTTATAAAGAATCCCATAAAATCATTGCTGCTAAGAGCAGGTGGAATGGACGGTTCAACTAAGCTATGGCTCTGGGTGAGTTTGGCAACTGGATTAAATAGATATATACCATTATTCTTATTGGATATCGTTTTAATAGCGTCAGATGCTCAGAAGCTCATGAGGCGCTGCTTCAGCTGCTCAAAAGGAAGCATGTCATCCATTGACTTTGCATGTGAACTAGCTGCTTCTGCTGCCTTTGCTGCTTTAGGTGTGAACATAGCAGAAGCGGCAGAGGAGCAGGCCATGAGCACCAAAACAATAGACGCCACGTTCAGTCTCATGTCAGGCTATGAAAAGAGACCCCAGAAACAATCCAGCATCTCACAGCAGGGTCTAGCCCTCTGACAGGAAAGGAATACATGGACCATCGTTACCAAGGGGCCGGGATAGTGAACCTAATCCAAACTTGCTGCCGACCAACCGGACATTATGATCATTGATCAGCAGCAGAGGATGGCCATAGTGATTGATGTGGCCATTCAAGATGATGGAAACATCAGGAAAATAACATGAAAAATTGGAGAAATACCAAGGCCTCATGGAAGAAGTAGAGAGAACCTGGAAGTTGAAGGCAGCTGTAGAGGTCATGGTCATTGGAGCATTGGGGACAGTAACCCCCACACTTGAGAAAAGGCTCCAACAGAAACCGGAAGGAAGATCAAGGATCTCTGTCCAAAATATTTGCAGTTCTAGAGAGAGCTGAGATATTGAGAGGAACTCTCAGACTTCCAGGGCTCTGGTTAAAGAGTCTGAACTGGAGATGAAGGAGTCACCCACCCCCAACCCATCAACCACTCAGACCAACCCATCGGTCCCAGCAGTTGCTGGGACCGATGGGTTGGTCACACTCAAGCTTAAGAGGGCCAGGTTCCTGCAAATTTTGGTCATGCCCTTCGTCCAAAACACATGAATAAATTGACAATTGCCCTCTTTAGCATAAGTCCCACCAACTGTACCTGATTACACTCAGGTAGGTTGAAGCAGAAACACATCGCACATCACAAAGGTGCAAGACAAGTTTGACCCGAGTGCTCTAGGGAGTCCAATCAGCTGACCGAGCAACATCCATCACACAGCATCACTAATGCTGTTAGAACGATGATAAAAGCAATCTTTGTGAATGCCTCACACCTTGTTAGATTTAAGTATTGATCCGTAAAACCCACACTGTTGATCATGAGAGGAATGTAAGGATGAGGATATTTTTAGATCTAGAAGCAGGTTTCTGAGCCTGTTTCATTTAGTGGACACATCAAGTATAGAAGGTTTGCCAGTGCCGCTTGGATTACTCTGTAATATTGAATAGTCATAATGATGTCAATCTATAAAAATAATTTAAATAATTCTCCACCTTTTCTCCAAAACCTGTGATTAATTTGATAGATCACAGCCTTAGTGTGGAAAGTAGAATGTACAGGTTTCAGGCCCTGCTTGGATGAGAAACTGCTCCATTAAACATAGACTTGATCGGTATATATCTGATGGATGATGAAGGGGAACTCTCTGCCAGTAAAAATGATCATATTAGAAATCCCCCTTTCGCTATGAAATGTTTATGTTTGAGACATCAGCTGGTTTCTGTTTTGTCTTTGACTGTAATGGATGTTTTCATTGATGAAGGGTTTGGTAGAGTTGCAACTGTAGTGTTGTTGGTATTTACCCTGAAGTGAAACAGGCCACAGTAGTTTTCCTCAAACCCTTGTTTAACAGGAACAACTTGCATGAGGATCTTATCATGAAAGGTCAGCGCACCGATAGAAGCTAGAAACCAGCAGTTTCCTGTTCAGGATCAGAGATTCAGTTATCTTGATCTCAGATGATAAGTAAAAAAAAGTTATATATAAAAATCAGAAAGACCTCACCAAGTATTCCTTGACAAAAGTCAAACCTTGAAAACTCACGAACCACGAAGGATGGATTCTGTACTATTTTCTAGTAAATAAAAATTAAATGAGAGGTTCAAGTTTAGCCTTAAATGTCACATAAACTCCACTATCTGATCAACACGATTGAACATTTGGAGACACTTACCGCAGGCCTGAGCCAAACCACATGGGCCAGATGAGAGGGGCTCAGGAGACCCTGGCCGATGGACCTCATGTCAGGAGGGAACATGTTGTCAATAAATTTGACTCTTTTGGTGATACAGAACTCCTTCAACTGCAGGTAGTCTTGGCCGAAGAGGAAGCTGGGGTTTGAGATGCTCCCCTGACCATCCTGTTTGTGACGGGCCTCTACAATGTTCAGACACACTCCTGGGGGGGGCATGACTGCAGAGGATCACTGGGAGAAAAATAAAGGTGGACATGGTTAACTAATAGTCACAGATTTTAAACATGGTGATTAGCAGTACCTTAACAGGAGGTCAGACAGCTATATTTAACAAAAATGAATGTAATAAAGAGGAACACTATAATATAAGCATCACATAAAATTAAATGTTGGATTTAAAACAATTAGAAGACAAGACATGATCAAAATGATCAAATACCATAACTATAAAGGAATTAACAGCAGGGAGCGGGGTCTGCAGGGTCTCTACAGACCTGTGGTGTCTAGGAGGTTCAAAAAGAAGGGGTGACCTTGTGGTTAGGGCATTGACATTGGAATCCAGAGGTTCTGAGTTCAAGCCCCACTCCCACCGCCTGCCACTTTGTGTCCCAGAGCAAGACCCTTAACCCCTCACTGGGCCACACAATGGCAGCTCACTGCTCCCCAAGGGAATTGATTAAATGCAAAGAATTAATTTTGTTGCTCTGTATGCTGATGAAGATTCTCAATCATCCAGGTCATAGTCATTCCATAAAAGTTCAAAAAATATCCACTGGACTTGGTTTCCAAGATTTGAAGATGTTTCTCCGCCTCTCCAGGAAACTTTGTCAATTCAATTGTCTGGATCCGCAGTGAGTTTGAGTCTTATATAGACAAAGCCTTGTATCGCTGGGAAACATGCAAATGGTAACCGATGAGTGGGTCGTTTGGTTCCATCGTTAGCCTGTAATATCTGAACCTGTCTATGATTCTGAAGGTCGGTCGTTAAGGCGGGGGAGGGTGCCGTTAAGGGGGGGATCGTCTCCTGTAATACCTGAAACCTGTCTATGATTGACAGTGTAATTCAATTCAATTCAATTCAGTTTATTTATATGGCGCCAAATTCACAACACGTCATCTCAAGGCACTTTACAGTTCAACCAGATCATACAGTCAAATTGATACAAAGTTTTCTATCTAAGGAAAACCAGTTGATTGAATTGACTCATTGACTCAAATACAATCCCTCACACTAAGCATGCTTGTAGCGACAGTGGAGAGGAAAAACTCCCTGACAATAAAACCTGAAAGAAAAGAAAAACTAAGACCATGATGGACTTTTGGGCATACAGCAGAATGTCAAAAGTGTTGTTGAAGAAACATGGAGCACAAGCAGTGATTTAAAGATGTTTCCACTGATCCATTTCCCTTGGTGTTGTTCAGGAGTCTTCATTAATATTTTTGGATAAACTGTAGCTAAATGAGTTGATACAAAATAACATTGTTTAGAAGCTTTGCTTCCTTAAGGAGGTTTTGAGTTCTAGACTTCCAACCTGGCAAAAGAAATGATATTCACTGCTTCATCATCTGTCAAAAACAGATTTTATCCTAATTTCTGATGAATGTTAGAGGAGGGTTGTACATCAGCCTAAAGCGTCATGGGCTCTCTGTTCTCTTACTTTAGCAGTTAATTATCAGATAATTCAGTTATAAATTGCAAAGAATCTTTTAGTTTCTCCTCTGTGTCGCTGAGCAGTGCTGCAGAGTGCAAACGTTTAGTTTATTTCCCTTCACATGTTGATGATTTTGTTGATGGGGTTGCTAGTTCTTTGCATACTGCCTTAGACAAAGCAGCTCCTTTGAAAAAATAAGGCCTTGTCCCATTCCTCTCACTTGGCTCTGAGAACACTCCAGTGAGTTCTCTCAACAGTGAAGTCCACTCAGTGAGGGAAGTGCAAGTGAAGATTTTGTCAATATGAAATTACACCCCAGCCCAACAGATGACGGCAATACATTGCCTTTACACTTCTGTGACGTGTTCACCTGCATCATGTGTAAACATAACGTGAGTCACAACCTGCTCCAGCAGTTATTTTACCTATTGCCTGGGTGCTGATGACCTTTCTCTGTGTGTCCAACCAGCAGAGAAGAAATGTGCAAAACCGAAGGCTGCTCCGCCATTATTTTTTTCCTTTCTACTACGTTTATCCGTTTACGATATGTGGACTAATTTACAGACACTTCTCCTGACAATCTGATCTGACAACAGGTGATGTACACATGGAGGTAGCCTGAGTATACAGGTAATCAAGAATCTCCTGCATGCCTGACTCGAGCCGAGAAATACATTGTTTAACGTCCGGACGCCACTGTCTGTCTGCCGATAGGCCGGATCATTCCATCAACGCTCAGAGCAGAGGACCCAGTAATCAGACAGACAGACAGATTTCTCAAAGAGTGTTTATCAGAAATGACGGATCTGCAGTGAACAGCTAACACGTCTAAGGCAGGAACCTCTGCATGGGGAAAAAAAAATCAAACCAGTCATCAGTGCAAAGATTTGCACAAATCATAATATTGGCTAAGTTTAGAGCATAAATAGGGAATCTAACTTCCCACTGAATACTTTTAACATTAGAATATGTCAAACACACATATGCAGCAGTTTAGGAGTCACCCATGTGTGGGTTTGTCCCTGTCATTATTGGTGATAGTGCAGCATGATTTTCCGTTTACAGCACAGTGTGTCACTACTGGGGCTGTAAGGAAGTTATTGAGTTTAACAATATACAGCCAGTAGTTGCTGATTTAAGCCTTCTGTAGCACCGCCCTGTAGATAAGAATCTAAAAAGTCTCTGAGCAGAATGGGTACAGAGGTTAGTTTCACTTTTTCCAAGCCTAGAACCATATAACCTATTTTAGCTTCACTCCACTGGCTGCCCATGCATCTTAGGATTCATTGCAAAATATTAATTTACTTTTAAAGCCTTGAATGGCCTTGCCCCACTTTACCTCTCTGAGCTGCTGCAGCCCTGCACTCCCAGCCGATCTCGCAGGTCAGCTGACCAGCTGCTCCTAGCAGTGCCTAAAGCAAGGCTTAAGCTCAGAGGGGATCAAGCGTCACCTCTTTTCTTTGGCTTTTGACACCATGTAGAGTGTTGATTTTAATTTATTTTATTTACTTTTATTTATTTTACTAATTTTATCTTTTTGTGCAGCACTTTGAAAACCTTGCATTTATTGAAATCGTGCTATATATATAAAGTGGATTGGATTGGATAACTCTGTACTGGAGGGAAGGTGAGGCCTCTACTGTGCAACTTGATAAGTAAGATCAAATTATATCAGTTTGCCTTTAACCATTTACGCTTACTAACTAAATTACTAAATCGAAAAGAGAAATTCTACTAAGTAGTTTTTAATTATTCTCTTTGTTAAGGTATCATGAGTATCACAATTTTATTTGACTTTCATTCAGTAAATTAATCTTAAAACCAGCAAAAATCTCGCTTTTGGATGTTCTTTTTCCAAAATTTTATTTAATGCATGTCATCTAAACTCACCAGTACTGTGACACCCTAACTCAAGTGATAAAATGCTATTTTAAAAGCAGAATATCTATTAATTTTGTAATAACACAGTAATAATCAGTTATTTGCATGATTGCCCATTATTCACTTTGGAAAAGTAACATTCTGTCAATATTCAATCAGCTACCAGGAACATTAAACCGTCCTGATAATTCCTGTTTCTACCCTCATCTATGATCATTAATCTGGATAAGAACCTAAAGAACTGATTAAGATCCTTAATTCAAGCTTCCTCTGCAGGGAGGCTGGGCTCTCCCTCAGAGAGAGGGTGAGGAGCTTGGTCATCAGGGAGAGACTCAGAGTAGAGCTGCTTCTCCTCCAGAGGAGTCAGCTGAGGAGGATCAGGCATCTTTATCAGACGCCTCCCTCTGAGGGGTTCCAGGGACGTCCAACCAGGAGGAGGACCAAGGGATGACCAGGACACTAAGGAGGGACTATGTCCCAGCAGAGCCAGTGGAGGTGTCTGGGTAGAGGGCGGTCTGGGGGACTCTGCTGAGACTGCTGCCCCCATGACCCATTTCCAGATAAAGAGGAAGACACCAGTGCAGATGGCTGCTCACATAGAGTCTGGTTCTGCTGGATGTTTCTTCCTGTTCAAAGGGAGTTTTTCCTCTCCACTGTCGCTACAAGCATACTTAGTGTGAGGGATTGCTGAAGAGTTAATGAGTCGATGCAATCAGCTGGTTTTCCTTAGATAAAAAAGTTTGAAAGGGCCTTGAGATGACGTGTTGTGAATTGGAACTATAGAAATAAACAAAATTAATTGAACTCAATTTGTCTTAAGCTAGAAGAAGTTTCTGCAATCTAAGGATATGTTGGATACACTGATTAAGTGAAGGCAGTGGACTAAGTGGGGAAAAAGACTGTATGCTATCAACATGGATATTGGAAGTGGACTCATAATGATCGTCTTTCCTTCTCCTTTCAGATTACCTAAACAGCCTGAAGACAATTTCTTCAGGGGGAACTTTTAGCACAACTCATGCTCTTTCAGTATAAATGGTTTTAAATAGCCCATTCCAGCTTTTCTCTTCATATAGATCACCTGACTGCTACCATTCCTAAGCAACCAATTCCTTAGATCAGTCCTCCACAAAACCATCAAGACTTTGTAGATAAGTACCTACCCTTTACCTCCCTTTATTTCTACAGTGCCGCCTCACTGAGTAGCCTGATCTTCCTATTTCCTCATTCCACTGTTAGTCTGGTTTAGTCCGGGTGTCAAAGCTTCCCTGAAACATCCTGAAGCAGACGGCACCTCCCTACAGACTGGGTTCAACAATGGTCCATAAACAGAGTTTTCTGATCTTAACTCTACTCATTTGAAAAAAAAAAAAAGAAGGAGAACAACCCAAGAACCCCGTCTCAACCCTAGAGAATGGAGGTGGAGCCATCCTTCTTTGGAGTTTTCTGATAGGGGTGCAGGACAATTACGTCGTATTGGTGGTGGTGGTGGGGGGGGGGTCTGGACCCCCTCAGTTAGGGCGTTGAAGATATGTCATGTCTGGGTCTTTGAGGTGGACTACAACCTAAATCACGAAGGCAGGGAATCTGAAGAGTCGACCTGGACCCCTCTGGCCATTTGCCAGTCTTGTAAGCCAAAGTTTCTTGACTAAATGTTACATTTTGTTTTTCTGTATCAAATACTGACACCATGCAATGATATAAGGGTAAGTTGTACTCAGAACATGTTCTGCGTTAAATGCTTTTTTTTTTTTTTGAAACATTTTTTTTCTCCCAAACTGTTTGCATTTGATCACTGCTGCACTTTATGGAAAGGAAATGTTTAAAAAAATGCACAAAACTGTTTTTTTTTTAATACACTGACAGGGTTAAGGTTATACACTGGCTTGGCCAATTCTAGTTTCTGGAATGGGCAAGTTATCTAAGTCCAACGTTTTTTTAAATTTTTTTTTTAATTGTCATTCCACTTTCACAAGTACACAGCAACAAAATGAACTCTCTGCAATTAACCCATCCCCTTGGGAAGCATTGGGTCCCCATTGTGCAGTGCCAATGGGTCCTACTCAGGGACCCAAAGTTGCAGTTGAACTCAGAACCTCAGCATTCAAACTGCAATGCCCTAACCACCAGGCCACCACTCCCCCAAAGCAGACATTAGGGTGAAGGGTCCTAAGGACACATTGGCAGCTCATACGAACCTTCCTGTTTGCAGGACGGGTGTCTTAACACTTGAGCTAGCCAGCCGCTACACATTCACAGAGACATTTAACTAAGTGTCTGGGCAATGTTGGTTCCCGTGTCCATCATTGTCCTCTAGATAACAGCCAATAGATTATTTTTTCTCCATACATTTTCCTTTTCACACCTCTTTCTATCAGTCAGGATTAAACATTCCTATCTGCCAGCATCTGTTGCTGTGACCTTCAATCAATTTTCTGAACTGAATTACCTAAAATTCACCCTTTTGATGAATAACCAGTAGTTTAACAGAGATTTTTTAAAGGAGCGGGGGGGGGCTGAATAATGTAGAGAATGTGAAACTGAGGGATAAGCAGAGAATCCAGGACATCTAAATGTATTACAGTTTCACCCCCTTAAATGAGAATAGGCTTCAGATGAAAAATGAAACTACAGCAGGTGTGTCTATCCACTCTGCTCCTGTTCAAAGAGAAAACAGTGCCTTACCTTACTGTTCCAGAGTCAAATGGTGAGAACAACGAAGCTTGCTCTGTTGTTTGTTGCCTGTGTCCACACTGAAGCTACCTGTAGCTGCCTGTGTAGACCTGGCAGTTAAAGTAAGGAGGAGGAGGACTTCCATTTATAGGACACGTTCCTGCACAGCCTGACCCATGACCCAGTTGATGTTTAGTTTGCTAAATTTATGACTTTATTACATTCTCAGAAAGACTTGTTAGTCAATTATTGATTTGGTAATGACAGTTAGAACAGCAGGATTGCAAATCAAACTTGAACCAGCTTAACTGAGGGTAGAAGAATGGTTTGAGGTTGCTTACTGATCAATTTGGAATCAAGTCTCATTCATTCCTCATCCAGGTGGAGTATTCTAACAATACCTAAATATAACACCTTCTTACCTCCAAGGTGTGTTTTTTTTATTGACATGATGACTGGAGAACAAAATAAAGTTTTTCGTAAATAAACAGTAAATAAACAGCTGTAAGAACGCTATGTGTGAGAACTCTCTGACAAATCCTGCCTTGGTGTGAGCTACACGGACAAAGAAACCCCTGGTTGCTGTGCTGAGCTGCTGCTGGATGAAACTCAAGCTTTTGTTGGGAGCTGGAGAAATTCCACCTTTCCAGCAGAGTCCGCCGTGGGTCCTCTGAGGGAGCCTCCCGCACAGCTGCAACTCGTCAAGATCATCAGAGGATCCACTACTTAAGCTGTCTTCAGACCTTGCCTCAACGCCGCAGTGTTGTTCCAGTTGGTCAGCGCTTAAGCCTGGATCCTCTGAGTAACTCGATGACTTTTGAATCCAGCTTGGATTCTAACCCTTGTCTCTGTTTTCCAGGAAACCTGTGCCTCCTCTGTGAAAGCTCTGGAAGAGCTAACCTGCCGAGCCGACCCTCTGAGCCAAACCTGAAGAATCACAGAGAACCTCCAAGCAGCTCTGGACTAGAGCTGGGAAATCCTAAACCAAGGTCTGTTCATGTTAGACGTGAGACGCTGAAGCAGCAAACGGACTCTGCTGATGAACTCTTCTCCAGATCCAACAGAGACTCTCCCAAAGCAAACCTCAAGAACCCTCAAGGTACAATCAGTAAACTTCATGAAATCCAACCTCTGTTGGCAACGCTAACTGAACTGTCTCTCACGCAGACTCCGGTGAACCAGTATCCAGGCCCCGAACCTGAACCAGTATATTCTGTGTGCTTGTGCATCAATAAACTGTTAAACTTTCATCCCTGTGTCCGTCAGTGGTGTTCTGCATTCTTGGGTCGCTTTTAGTGAACCCATCTTGACAGAACACTGCGGCCAAACTCAAGGCCCAGCAGATCACCTCACCCGTCGACTAGAGGAGCAGGATGCCCAAATTCAAGGACAAACCCAAACGCTCCGTGAGTTATACCGCCTGGTTGACACTCATAACCACATGCTACAGAGCTATGCTAATTATCTGAGCAGCGCTAATGCTGCACAACAACCATTTCCGGGTCCAGTCCCTCCTCCGAGGTCACCAGCAGTGACGTCATCAGTTCCGTCCTAGTCTCCCAGAAAGATTTTCTGGTAACATGAAAGATTGCAAAGGATTTTTATTTCAATGTCGATTGATTTTTCAGAACTCCCCTGGCAGCTTTTCCACGGATTACAAGAAGATAACTTTCATTCTCTCACAGTTAACAGGAAGAGCCTTGGAATGGGCTCAGGCAAGATTTGCCGCCGACGATAGCTTAAACTGCTACTATTCTGATTTCATCTCTGAATTTACCCAGGTATTCAACCAAGAAACTGACCAAACAATTGATTCCAGAGCTCTTTTCAACCTAAAACAGGGAAACTCTTCGGTGGCTGAATTTTCCATTAACTTCCGGGTTAAAGCGGCAGCTTCCGGATGGAACCAAAGCGCTCTAAAGGGAGCCTTTTTCATGGCATTAAATGAGCACATTAAAGATGAGCTCGCAACCCTCAACGAACCTGCTACCCTCGAAGATCTAATTCGCCTCTCCATTAGATTGGATAATAGAATTCAAGCCAGAAACAGTTCTAAGAAGCAGGGTACACTTTCTTCTGCCTCACATAACGTGACTGTTTGTTCGTCCTCTACAGAGCAGCTGTCCATTCAGAGACCTAAGTCCCAGTCTCTACCGTTGCCTATTCAGGCCTCTCATTCGGGCAAACGGGATGTCGAACCCATGCAGGTGGGACACACTAGGCTCACTCCAGAGGAGAGGCAAAGGCGTTTTCTAAGCAAACTATGTATCTACTGTGGTGAGAGTGGACACTTCATCGCTTCCTGCCCGGCTAAATCAAAAGCCTGGGCCCGCCAGAGGATCTGAGGAGTCTGGCGGGCCAGATAAACACAAAGAAATCTCCTCGACTGTTACTTCCTGCCACGTTGTTCTGTGCTAATCAAAACCTCTCTTTTTCTGCATTCATCGACTCAGGCTGTGAACGTAACCTAATCGATTCTAACCTCGTCCAGCAACTCCAAATTGAAACCATTCCTCTGACTCAGCCTCTCAGTGCATCCGCTATTGACGGAAAAAGACTCCATCAAGTTACCCATCAAACTCAGCCCCTCGAGCTACTTCTGTTATGTAACCACCAAGAAACTATCACATTTTTTGTTTTTCCCTCTGCATGTTCCCCCCTGGTGCTTGGTTTCGAATGGTTGGAGAAGCATAATCCTCACATTAACTGGACTGAACGTCACCTGGAATCATGGTCCATCTCATGCCATGAAACATGCCTTCGTTCTGCTGCCCCCTTGGTGGGGTCTCCTAGAGGTGGGGGGGAGATGGACTCTCCTGACCTTTCTTCAGTTCCTTCTGAGTATCATGACCTAGCCCCTGTCTTCAGTAAGGTCAGTGCGACGTCCCTACCTCCACACAGACCATACGATTGCGCCATTGAACTTTTACCTGGTGCTCCTCTACCTAGCAGTAGATTGTATAATATTTCCAAGCCTGAGAGAGAAACCATGGAAAAATACATCAACGAATCATTAGCTGCTGGAATAATCCGCCCATCATCCTCTCCATTGGGCGCCGGGTTCTTCTTCGTGGGGAAGAAGGATGGTTCCCTGAGACCTTGTATTGACTATCGAGGTTTGAACCAGATTACTATTAAGAACAAATACCCACTACCTCTCCTTGCCTCAGCTTTTGAACCCGTACAGGGAGCTACTGTATTTTCTAAACTGGATTTAAGAAACGCTTATCATCTCCTTAGGATCCATGAGGGCGACGAATGGAAAACAGCCTTCAAAACTCCTTTGGGCCAATTCGAATATCTAGTAATGCCCTTTGGTCTAACTAACGCTCCAGCCTGCTTCCAGGCCCTCGTAAATGATGTTCTCAGAGACTTTCTCAATGTATTTGTTTTCGTGTACATTGACGACATACTCATTTACTCCAAGAACCTCGATGAACACAAGAAACATGTCCGCCTTGTTTTACAGAGACTGCTGGAGAACAAGCTGTTCGTGAAAGCCGAGAAGTGCGAATTTCATCAACCTTCAGTCACCTTTTTAGGGTTTGTGCTCGAGGGCAGCCAGGTAAAACCATCTGAGGACAAGATTAAGGCAGTTTTGGACTGGCCAGTTCCAGAGAACCGCAAACAGCTACAAAGGTTTTTAGGTTTTGCTAACTTCTATCGTCGGTTTATCAGAAACTACAGCCAGACCGCCCTTCCATTAACTTCCCTGACCTCTGTCAAACGCATTTTTCAGTGGACTCCTGAGGATCAAGCAGCGTTTGATAAATTAAAGTCTTTATTCTCCAGAGCACCTGTTCTTATGCAACCTGACCCAGCCAAGCAGTTTATTCTAGAGGTGGATGCTTCAGATTCTGGTGTTGGAGCAGTCCTATCCCAGAGACTGGATTCAGATCAAAAAATACACCCTTGTGCTTTCTTCTCCCGTAGACTTTCTTCAGCTGAGCAAAATTACGATGTGGGTGACCGAGAGCTTCTGGCCATTAAACTGGCGTTGGAGGAATGGAGACATTGGCTGGAGGGAGCTGAGCATCCGGTTCTTGTATGGACTGACCACAAGAACCTGGCTTACATCCAGTCAACCAAGCAAGCTAATCCCCGCCAATCCAGGTGGTCAATTTTCTTCTCTCAGTTCAATCTCATCATCTCCTACAGACCCGGATCCAAGAATGTCAAACCCGACTCTCTCTCTCGTCTCTACTCCGTCGATCATCCCGGGACCCCTGAACCTGTTCTTCCGGCTTCCTGCACAGTGGGAGTGGTCAACTGGGAGATAACTGACCTCATCAACTCAGCCCTGGCCACTGAACCCGATCCAGGTAACGGTCCCACTAATCGAACCTATGTCCCATCTTCCGTCAGGTCCCGTCTCATCCAGTGGATGCACGCCGCCAAATTCTCAGCTCATCCAGGAGTCAGCAGAACAATAGCCCTGATCTCAAGACGCTTCTGGTGGCCCACCCTCCATAGGGACATTAAGGACTATGTGTTGGCTTGCCCCACATGTGCTCGTAACAAAGCCTCAAACCAACCTCCTTCTGGCCTGCTTCAGCCGCTCCCTGTTCCCTCGCGTCCTTGGTCCCATATCGCCATTGATTTCGTCACCGGTCTCCCTGTCTCTCGAGGTATGTCCACCATATTCACCATTGTTGACCGTTTCTCGAAGTCCTGCCATCTTATTCCCCTCAGAAAACTTCCCACAGCCTTCCAGACAGCCCAGCTTCTCATCAAGCATGTTTTCCGGTTACACGGCATTCCCCAAGAGATCCTCTCGGACAGAGGTCCTCAATTCATTTCCCAGGTCTGGAAGGCCTTCTGTTCTGCTCTCGGCTGCAAACCCTCTCTCACCTCTGGTTACCACCCCCAATCGAATGGTCAGACTGAGAGAATGAATCAGCAGTTGGAATCAACCCTTCGCTGCCTCACTTCAAACAACCCCGTGGACTGGGGCCAATTTCTCCCATGGATAGAATACGCACATAACTCCCTCAGATCTGCATCCACTGGACAATCCCCGTTTCAGGTTAGTCTCGGCTATCAACCACCTCTTTTCCCCGCAGACGAGAGAGAGATCTCGGTCCAGTCCGTAAATCAACACATCCGCCGTTGTCAAAGAATCTGGAGGGAAACC